TCACTCGCCTCCTCCTTGTAGTGCTCAGTCTCTGCTGCAATAGCCGAGTCTTTCTCTGAGGGGAAAAAAACATTCACATGCATATTGTGGTGAAGAATAACAAGACATAACCACATACACAAAACACAACCTCTCTCACACAGCACATTGGATTTTTTTAAAAACTGCCTACACACTGTGAAAAGCGAAAGACTTCTCAATCTTATATTCCAAATAATACACACAAATACACATTCAAACACAGTTTGTACACATATACACACACCCAGCCTAATCTTTCTTACAGAAATTTAAAGTTCAACCTGCACATACAGATGAGTCTGCTTAACCCAAATTCTGTAGGACTGCCAGATTTTCTTCCCTTTAGCTGTGTTTCACATTAAGAGAGATTGCTCAAATAAAAGTGTGCAAGAGTGCAGTTGTGCCACCAACCTTTCTGAAAGTGCTCCAACACCAGCTGCAAGTTGGCCAGTGAGGTAGCATACTGCTGGCACTGGTCCTGTATGGCGGCCACCTGTTTGAAGGCCGAGTCGCGCTGACCAGACATCTGCTGGACCTGCTGCTCCAGGCTCTCCGCACGCCGACTCCACTCCTCGCTGAGAAAACACACAAAATAGAAAAAGGTTCTAGAGGAGACACGCACACCACAAACCATTTCTTATTTGTTTGGGTAAAGAGAAGCACGTTGAAGCAAAGTGGGGGGGAAAGTAAGACAGAAATAGAGATAAAAAAAGCAGGATCTATTAAAGGCATATTCCAACTGATTTGTTTGAGTAAAGGTAAGCATACTGACATAATAACCATGTGTAAGGAGTGTTCAAGTTCAAGTGATTACGCGCAGCAGTTTTGTTTGAGTGTGTGTGTGTTTGTGTGTGCGTGTGCATGCGTGCGTGTACATGCATGCGTGTGCGCATGTTTGTGTATGTGTATGACATTGTACATTCCCCACTGACCTGGCTCTCTCCACATGGGAGGAAGAAGACATGAGCTGCTCCTCTGCCACGGCCAGTCGATTCCTCAAATCTTTTTCCCGCTCCTCAGAGTCCAGAGCTTCTTTAGTGTAGCCCTCCTCGATCTGGAGGACAAGGAACAGCGGTCATTACACATCACGATCATTACGCAAGTGAAATACTGTCAGAGGTCAACATCAGAGCTAGGTTTGTTGGGAGAAGAGGAATATGCATAAAGACAAGTAAATCCCCACATTAAATCATTTCATGAAAGAAAAAGTAAGACAAAAAGAAAAGAAGGACCTTCAAGTGGCACCCTCCAGACCTCCGTAGTTGGTCAGTAGGTCTACACACAGGAAAAACTGTTAGGACAGGAGAACACCATAAAGGCTCTTTCTTTATGCAAGACAGATAAATCTTTCAGTTTTAGAAATAAAAATATAATTAAACTTTCCTGACTTGAGACAGCTCAAGCAAGCTGATGGGTCAGCTTTTTTATCCTGGCTGGACATAAATCTGTCCATACATGGAAGAAACTTTATAAGGGCTATTACACACTTTATCTAGGACAACCCAGTAGATGTGCGATTTATGATATATGATGTATGGGGCATGTGATGTATGTTGTGCATGGTGTGTGATGTATGGGGTGTGTGACAGATGTGTGTGATGTACAGTACGTGATGTGTGTGATGAGTGGCCATGTGATGTGTGGCCTGTCATTTGTCATACATCTCACCTGCAGCAGGTGGCCTCTCAGCCGCTCCAACTCACGGCTCAGTTTGAACTCTTTGTCCTTCATGTGTTGAATCTGTGAAGACAAAGCAACATACATGAAGAAAGAAATCTACTTACTCATCACCTGATATAACACAAGAACATACAAGCTACTCTCCCACAAAGCAAAAACTCAATACTCTGGTTAAAAAAGACAAACCATCAGACCTAAATCCAGGTCAAATCCCTAAGAAGAAAAACTCATTAACATCCAATTAAAATTTCTAGACAGAAAATAAAATCACCCACCCACCCACCTCCACTCTGGTCAAACCCCCTAACCAGAAAACAAATTTATTGACATCAGCTTTGGTCAAAATTTCTGGATAGAAAACAAAAATCACTGAACTTAGTTCTGATATTTTTAAAATCCTGGGTAGACAACAAAATCAACATCCACAAATTTGATCAAAATCTCTGGATGGAAAACAAAATCACTGACCTCAGCTCTGAGAGCTGCGCCCTCCTGAAGCCGTTGTTCTGCCAGCATAGCCTGTTGGTCTCTCTCCTGCTGCAGCTGTCGCGTAGAGCTCATGACCGACTCGTTTTCCCTCATGAGCTGAGCCACTTGGCCATCCTCTCCATCTCTTTCCTGAAGAAGCGCATTGAGTGTGGCCACCTGCTCCCTCAGACCCGACACTTCAAGGTCCTTCTCCCGCATGCTTAGCGTCAATTTGCTGACTGCTTCACGTAGACCAGCGCACTCACTCTCCTGAGGACAAACCAACCCGATCAAGATACAACAAAAGCAATAATTACAGTATCTCCTCCACAACTATCACTAACAACACAATCACAAAGTTATAAGTATGGAAAGAACAAGAGCAGAACCAATCTCTGCCCATAAGATCTATGTTGTGGTACTCTTATGTCAGTTCAGTGCTGATGGAAACACAGAGACAATGCCAACATGAGTAAGAAAACAGTATGTGTGTAGACAAAGGGGTTGAACACCACTGTCAGTGAGTAGACAAAGAGGTGACGAGAATATAACACAAAGATCTGTGCTTAGTGAATCATTTGCTAAGAGTATCATACATTCAGTGTATTAATTATCAACTACAGTCAAACCTGCTCTAAAGCCACCTGTTCAAGACAACTACTTGTATAAAGAACCAATTTCTATTTCGCCCCTTGTGTTTTTGCTATATTATAACGTCATTGTCTAAGACATTCACCCGTCTAAGATAACCATTTCCCCCCTCCACAATTGGCGTCCATTCTGAACCATTTCGACTGTATATGTATGAAGTGTAGGATAGAGTTCCCTACTCTCCCGTTGTACTGACCTGTGCTATTGTCTTGGCCTGCAGCTGCTCTCTGTCCCCCTTTAGGTCGTCCAGCTCAGACACCAGGCCAGTCAACTGGAACTTGGAGCTCTCCGTCTGTTTCCTCAGGTGATGACACTCGGCCTCCCGGCTGGCCATTGACTCCTCCAGGGTCTTCACCTTGCGGCTCAGGGCCTGAATCTTCTGCTCTCGATCACTCAGTGTGTCTCTCAGCTCACTCTCCACCACACGATTGTGCTCAGCCTGACTGCTGTGACCTATGACCTCAAGGCTACTTGAGCGTTGTAGCAGCTCTCCATGGCGAACCTCCATCTCTCTCAGCCTCTGCCTCAGCTCAGCCACTTCCCCCTGAGCTGACACCAGGGCCCGGCATTTATCCTCAAACGTTGGCACCAGTGCCTGGTATTCACTCTTGGCCTTTTCCGTCTCTTCTCGACCGCTGGCCAGTAGAGAAGCCAGACGCTGCGTCTCCCCGTGATATGCCACGGCCTCCGAGTGTTTCTGGGTGAGGCAGGCCACTAACTGTTCCCGCTCAGCGTTGAGTGCTACTACCTGCTGGGCTAGGGTCTCCTTCTCTCTCAGCAGTGGGCCCAAGTGGGAAGCAGCCTCTGACTGACTTGAAGACTCCTGGAGCACAGCAAGCAAAGTTGTGTTTTTCTGCTGCAGAGCCTCAATCTCTGTCTCTCGATCTCTCACAAGCCTGGCCATGTTGGTGAGAGCCTCACGCCGCATCTCGTCGTCCTCTGCCTCGTTGTCTCGAGGGGGGGAGCGCTGCCTCTGCTCCAGCTCCTTGTTGTCTGTCTGCAGTTTGTCTAGCGCAGCTTGACCGGCAGCCACTACCCCCATCAGCCTGTGCACCTCAGATTTGAGGCTCGAGTTCTCCCGAGACTTCTCACTAACCACTGCCACCATCTGCTCTCTCTCTGCCTGCAAACTTCTCAACTCTGCCTCTAGTTTGTGAGTGGAAACTTGACCACTTCGGTCCCCTGTTCCTTCCAGCAGGCCCAGCAATGAGGAGTTACTCTTCTGCAACTCAGAGACTATTGTGTCTTTTTCCTTTAGTCTCTCTCGAAGCTCCTCCAGCTCTTTTTCCACAACTTGAAATCTTTTCTGATCAGACTGAGAGCTTTCTATGAGACGTATGTCTTCTGTGACATCTTCAACAATGCTGCCATTCACACTTAGAACAGCATCTTCATGTTGCTGATAGCCAGTTCGTTTCTTGTCCCCACCACTCACAGGGGTGTTCACAGCCCCAGCTTGACTCTCCTCAAAGTACTCGATGGCCTTGACCTCATGATACTCTAGAGCAGGCTGTTGGGAATTGCTGTCAGTAAAGTGCTGTAACTGCTGTAGTTGCTGAGGGGAGAGGATGGACAGCAGGAAGCTGAGTCGACCTTGCACATCCGCCAGAACCGTCTCCTTGTCCACAGAAGTCTGACGCAACACAGCCAGGTGACTCTCCTGGCGCGTTGACTCTGAAGACACTTTCTCCAATTCTTTCCTCTGTTCTTCCGTCTTCTTGTTGAGATGTGCGATACCAGCCTCATGACACTGAACGGTGTCCTGCGCAGTCAACAGGTCCAGACGTAGAGCAGTGATCGTCTCTCTGGACAGACTCAGTTCTACTTCCAGCTGAGAGATGGTCTCCTCTAGTCTTTCTCTCTCCTGGGATGAAAGACCACCCTCTCTTTCAGAAATGTGTGCATCCGATAGGTGTGTGGTGCCTGTGAGTTTGTTCATCTCCTGTGTCTGGCTCAACGTGCGTTCCAAGCCCAGATTTTTCTCCCTCAGTTTGTCCAGCTCCTGCTCCTTGCCCCGCAGTTCCTCTATGTGCTTGTCTTCTACAGCAGACACAGAGCCTTCTATCTCCTCGAGGTCTGTGCCAAAGCGAATGACACGAGACTTTAGCTGTCCGATCTGCTCATCCTTCTCCTCACAGACTTGCTCTAGCCGCGAGATCTCCGCCTTGACTGTCAGCATCTCCTGAGTAAAGGCAGACGATTTGGCAGTTAACTCCTCTACCAACCTGCACTTTTCAGTCAGCTCTTCCTCCATTCTGGTCATCTGCTCTTGGCCAGACTTTAACATAGCAGTCTCTGCCACCTTCTGTGCATGTATATTTGCATCCTGCTGCAGTCTCTCCACTTCCGCCACCAATTCACAGTGCTGTTCCCCTGCAGCTTCTAGTTTTCCCTCACAGATGCATAACTTGGAGTACAGCTCCTGGCTCTTGCTAGCTTCCGATTTCAGCTGTTCTTCCAACTCTTGCCTCTTTCTGGCTTCCTGCTTCAGTTTTTCTTCTAACCCCTGGCTCTTGCCAGCCTCACACTTCAACTGTTCTTCCATCTGTCCTGTTTTCTGGATGAGACTCTCTATCTGTTCTTCCTGTGCCTCCACCTGGGACTGATGTTCCCGCTCCCTCTCTCCCGGTGAGTCCTCAGACTTGTTCTTCTCTCGTAGCTGCTGGACAAGTGTTTGTTTGTCACTGTACAGCCGCTGAACTTCCTGTCTCAGTTCGTGGATCAGTTTGCCATCGTTTTCTAACTGAAGTCGAACCCGTGCCTCTTCCTCCAAGATTGACAGTAGCGTCTGGTCCTCAAGAGCTGGTGTGGGGGAGACCTCCGTCACATTGTCTCTGATAAGCTGCTGCAGCTCCCCAGTAAAAGTCTGCTTCTCTTTCTCCATATGCTCTAGTCGAGAGCGCAGCTTTGCATTCTCTGCTGCCTGCTTCCCCACCTCCATCTGGCCCACCTGCTTCTCCTCATTCACTTGTTGCCAACGCTCCAACTCCTCCTCTGTCTCTCTCAGTCTATCCTCTATGTCACTCAATCTATCCTCGGCCTCCTTTTTCTGCGTGACCAGCGAGCTGTTCTCTTCCCTCATCTCCTTCAGTTTGGACACCTTGAGGGCCACCTGCTCCTGGGCCGCAGCCAGCTCCCCTTGAAGTTCCTGCTTGTCCATGTGCAGATCGTTGATGACTAGCCCACCCTTCTGGAGCTTCTCTTTCAGCTCACCTATTTCCTTTTCATAACCCTCACACTTGCCACCGCTCTGCTCCCTCACAAAAGACATTTCTCTCTCAAGGGCAAGGCACTTCTCCTCCCAGTTTTTACTGTCAGGGTTCTTTGAATCCCCTCCACCACTCTGTCCCTGAGCTGCGAGCTGAGCGGTGAGTGAAGCCACCTTTTCATTGACCTGCTCCAGTTGCTCCCCCTGCTGCTGTAGCTGGGTATGGCACTGTGCCAGTTCAGCGGCCAGGCGATCTCGCTGAGCTATTAACTGCTCCAGGGCCTGAGAGTGCTGTGAATCTAGCTCCTCCAAGGCACTTTCCAGCTCATCCCGATCCCCACGCAGAGAGCTAAGCTCCGCCTCCAATGTAGCCACACGTTCCTGTGATGACTTCACATCTGGGGAATACAACACACAAGTCCTGTTATTCCTACAATACACACCACACATAGCACACCAACACCACACATGTCCAAGCAGGGAACAAAACAAAGGCTATTGGTAGATAAACTACACACTAACACACCTGTCCTCTACATAAACATAACTGCAGAGTAAAAGATAGTTTACTGAAAAAACTCCATCTAGATCTAACAACTTCATGGTAATGTAGTACACAGATAAACACAAAGTTCTCATCAGGCACACAGTTACCCACATAGCTCTCATCAGTCACACAGTTAGCCACCTAGTTCTATCTTGTACAGAGTTTTTAATAAAGTTTTGATCTAGCACAAAGTTAAGTACACAAGTTCTTCTCATTGGTCAAAGCTGACAAAAACAAATTAGCCAGCTCAACATATCACATACCTGCAGATGTTTCTCCAACCACATCTGAGCCTGATGACTTCAGAGACACGAGTTCTTGTTCCTGTTCTTGCGTTTTCTGTCTGAGCTCGGTCAAGACATCCTCCAATGCCTCTCGCTCCATCAGCCAGTCGGCTCTCTCCATTTCCACACCAGACATGCTCTCTTTCTGGGTCTCCAGCTGTACCCGCAATGAAGCCAGCTCCCTGTCCACTTCCTCCTGGCCAATGTCCAGAGCGCTTCGAGGGTTTTCTCGCTCTCCACTGTCAGCACAAGCAGGGGGTGCAGCAGACAGACACAGAATGAAGGGGGATAGGGGGAAATGTAAATATAAAGGAGAGACAAGATGGGGGAGATGGGACAAGGGAAGGTAAAAAAGATATTCAAGTTTTTTTCAAGGGGGACAACTTTTTCCTCAACATAACAAAGCCATATATGTTCTTCTTGGCACATCAGCTAAGAAAAGCCATCAGACAACAAATATAAAGACATTCACCACACGAAAAATACCATAGAAATAGACATCAGGCAGACAAGAATTATACAGTGAAAACGAGAGACAGAAAACAAAGAGGTGGATGGACAAACATAAGAATGGTAGATTTTAGTAAAGAGAAGCACTTTAACACTCAGACTGGCATCAAACGGCAAGCACAATAAAGTGTGTGTGTGTGTGTGTGTGTGTGTGTGTGTGTGTGTGTGTGTGTGTGTGTGTGTGTGTGTAAGTGTGTGTGTGTGTTTTTGTATGAATGTGCATAGGTGAGCAATGAGTATGTTAATGTACTTGTGTGAGAGCTTTTATGTCCATGTGAGAGTGTGTACATACGATGGGAATATGCACTACAAGAGAAACATAGCCTAAGCCTACCTGAGCAGAGAGGAGACATCTGTGTCTGAGTCCTCCCAGTCTTGCCCTTGGAAAAAGAGAGAAAGACATACACAGGTCAACAACAGGTGTGGAGCTGGATTAAGAGACTGTTTTCACAGGCATCAGCGGACAACAGACACAGTAAAACCTGAGACTTCTGCAACCGCCTTAACCAATGACCCACTACAGCAGAAAACCTGTCAGAGCCACACCCTCCATTACAGCCACCCCTTCCATGACCAAGAATTACAGTAAAACCTGTCACAGCTACCCCCTCAATGATAAAAAATTAAAGGGGAAAAAACCTGTCAGTCATTCCCCTCCATAAGTTACCCCCACCATAATCAAAAATTACAATAAAACCTTCCTTCCCACTCCCTCCATGACCAGGCACAACAGTAAAAACTAGTTCCATCTTTCACATAAGCAAAAATTATCTTCTTAACACAAACTCCCTCCAGCTTTGCAATGAGGCCTTTCAAAGAAAACTGTGAGACATTGCTCATCCCATTATTTGTGTAACTTGACCCAGCCCAAGCTCACATTATTCCTTCACACCCCCAGGCAGACTGTGAACATAGGTTGGGCCTTGAAAACAAGTTGACTTCAAACATAGAACAGCAACTCACCAGTGAGTTCCCCAAGCCTCCCCTTCAGTTTGGTCACTGTTGCCTGCAGGCTTTGTCTCTCTTGACCACTGGTTAGCACAGACTTCTCCAACAAGGTTATCTGCTCCTTCAGCTTCAGGTTCTCCTCCCTCAGGACCAAAGTCTCACGCTCCAGACTGTCAAACACATCTGTAGTCACAAAGCAGGGTGGAAAGGGATGGGGGGGGTGGAGGGGAGAAAACAGAAAACAGATGAAGATAAGGGTATGAGGAACATCAGTAATCTACTCTTAATTAACAACACTAACAGGACACAATTTCTATGACACAAATTGTATTTATTTGGCTTGGGCTTGATTGTTCTGTTTCATCCCTACCTACACTGTGCTGCCACCACTTTGAAAACATAAAATAAGTTCCAAAAAAATAAATAAATGAAATGTTAAAAGACAACAAAATCACTTTAACAATTAGAAAGACAGGTGATACCCTCCGACAATAAAACAAAACACACGGACATTGATTTATCACCACTGATATTAATATGTCACCACTGACATTGACAAGTCACTAATGGCACTGATGTCACCGTTGTAACACTCATGTGTCACTACTGATATTAATGTATCACTTCTGTTGTCTTTCTCTTTCCAGTGCCCTTACTTCTCGTTGACCTACTTACATCTAGCTAGATACAACATAAAACAGTAACAGACGAGTCCAGACCTGCTGTGAGCTTCTGTCTCCCAGGATCTGTCATTTCCTCCAGTAACAGCTCTGCTTTGTCGCGCACTTCTTCTTGTTCAGACTTCACCGTCTGCAGCGACTGCTTCAGCTCTGAGCTCTGAGGGCAGAGAATTTGACCGTACACAGACCTTTCACATAGATAGGCCTGGGAGAGAACCAAGTACTACACAGATCTCTTAAATAGGACAGAGAGAATATTATTATTGGACAGTACCTCGATCTCTTACATAGAGAGGAGACAGAGACAATTGGGTAATACAGGGATATTTCACACAACAAAAACAGGAAAGAATTGGGTCTCACTACAAAAAAAAGATCTTTCATTCAGAGTACAGTGGAAAAATCCATTTATACCGAGTTATCTGTATAAACCAGTGAGAAATGTGTCAGACAGAGCACAGCTAGTGTAGAGCCAGAGAACATCACAGTATAGTGAGTCAGCACATTGTGGAAGTCTGTAGTACAAGAGGGGAGGGAGTCAGTTTTCTATAGGCAGTGCGGAGTTGGAGTGTTTAGTGGGTCTGTGTGTAATGTGTTGGTGTTGTCAGTACCATGCGTACAGGAGCTGTGTAATGAGTCATCATGTAAAAAGAAACTGTAATGAGTCAACGTATGTGTAGTAGATCCGAGGGTTTGAAATAGACCTTTACTGAGAGTAAAAGCACCTGTTGTCCCACCCGGAACATTTGATTGACCAGCGACCTCATCTCTGCTCGCATGTTGCCACGGCGACTCACAGCCTCCATATCCATCGACTCTCGCATTTCTCTCAGCTCACAAAGCACACCCTGGGCATCAGCCTGGAAGAAGGCAAGCTGGCATGTGAGTGACGGCCAGTTGTTTGAGCATACATGGGACAGGGCCATGTGACAAGGCAAGCTGGCAAGTCAGCAACGGCAGATTGGGCCATGCAACATGAAAGCTGGGATGTGAGAGACCCCTGACAGGATCTTGTAACAAGGCAAGCTGGCATGTGAACTCCTGCAGACAGAGCCATGCGACAAGGAAAGCTGTCAAGTGAGTGACCACAGAAGGGGCCATGCAACTGGGGAATCTGGCATGTTAACTCCTGCAGATGGAGTCATGTAACAAGGCAAGCTGGCATGTGAATGATTACAGACTGTAAGAGCACACAGCATTCATGGTCATGCAACAAAGCGAACTGGAATGTTGTTGGCTGAAGAAGTGAGCCAAGGTTAGACTCGCCTCACAAATTGAAGCAAGCTGGAGTGCTGTCTTACACAGGCTGACTTCGAGCAAAAACTGCGACCAAGAAGACAAGACAAGCAGACTACAAACATAAGTTGGGGCCATGCAGCCTGAGAACATAAAATCAGACAAGCCAACTGGGAGCAGCCTGGGATCATGCTGACAGGCTCACTGCAATTGTAGATTGGGGCCACACAGACAGGCCAACTGAGATCCCAGATTTGGGCTATGCAGACAGGCTCACTGATATCATAGATTGGAGCCATTCACCAAGTCCCAGAGAAAACAAAAAAACTGGGGTTACGCAGACAGGCCAGCTGCAAGCTTAGAATGGGGTCATGCACAAAGGCCAAAAGAGCATAGACTGACGCCATGCAGACTGGCACAGCAGGTGGAATGTGAACTAAACCAGGGCCATGCACCTCATGGAAACAATACGAGCCTCCACCACACTCATCCTTCCTTACAGTTCGGTTGTTGCTGTAGGCTCACGAAGTGGGGGCCTGATATAAAAATACTACACTAAACATAGCAGGCTAGCAAAATAAGGAGCCGTTTTGGAGCGTAGAGAAGCAATGGGTCTTCCAGGCAACAAAAAGTCACACCAGCCCTCACCAAACACACAGTGGCCAGCAACCTCCAGCAGGACATACCCACCACCCTGACTTGTCAGATCAGTACAGTTTTAATAAAAGTTTTACAGCAGTTGCAACACACACAGATCATATAAAAACCGAAGATGAGAGATGTTACTAGAGAGTAACACACAAAGTAAAGGATGAGGAGCCATAAGGACGATAACATGTTTATAGGAAAGAAGATGCAACCTTCAACAGAGTGCCCCTTGTCATATCAATTACTGTTCCTTTCTGTGTGACTCGTGATTGCATGCTGGTCCCAGAGCCTGGCAGTCACAAAAGCAGTCACTAGGTACCAGGTCCCACTTGCAGCTTTATCGCTGTCCCTGAACCCAGCAGAACACATTTTATCCCTGCCCCACTTGTTGCTTGCAGTCAAGAGCAGCAAATGTTTTATATACATTCATCATAACACAGGCAAAACACATGACCACATAGTTAAGCGTAGTCACACACATATAGAGATCACATAACACCACACGCATTTACCCATGCACGCACGCACGCACACACAAACACACACACACATCAAACAAGACCAGAAAGCAACACATAATTTGTTAACTACAGACTGGAACGAGCAGGTGAATGCAAACCATGCCTTGTGCTTTTTCTCATCATGACAACTAGCTTGTTGGGTGAAGGAATTCCTCAAGACAATAGCTCAGTCAGATAGACAGGGACATGCTTTGACACACAAAGTCCGCACTAGGCCCAGTAGCATCCTATTCATTTTCTACCCAAACTTTAAGAAAGCCAAATGGCATGCATGTATTATTTATCCAGGTCATTTTCTTTTGTAAGAGGACAAGCTGTCCTTGTCTTTCACTAGCAGTGAATGATACAGGAAAACAAACAAGCACTTATTAGATCTACTGCCAACTTTCTGTCCCCAACCGTGACCAAAAGCAAGCACAAGCAACCCTCCCTGTCACTACAACAGTAACTATGTGCGTTTAGTACAGATCATATATTGTCACTGGTCATTCACACATACAAGTCCCATGAGGCAAATAGGGCGCAATGCGCTAAATGCATAAACAAGGAAATTATCTGTAACACTCCGGCTTCAAATCTCAGTTTCATAACTGACCCATATTTCTCCATTGACCTATCTACACTCAAAGGTTATTTAAGAAGAGAATTTTCCTCCCTTCAATCTGATTAGACAACTAACACTAAATTGTTACTTCTCTGAGGAAGACACCGACAAAACTTCTCAAAATATGAGAGTCATACGTGAAATTAAACGAAAACTGTAGAACTATCTGGTCTGTGATGAGCCAAGACTACTTGCTTATCCCTCCACTCTATTGTAGCTGTGGCCACAAATTATGAGTTCTACACGATTTAAATAAGAGTACTGGTGAGGCTGAAGGAGCCACTAGACAGAAGAGGTAGTAGCGAGAGAGTACATGGTTTGCATCCAGCTGATCCAACAGTCTGTACTTGGTGTTGACCAACTCCTCCCTCACCTCCGCCAGCTCCCGGCGCAGTGAAGACCTCTCCACCTCGGACGCTGGGGACAAACACCAGAAAACTCCATTACAGATACAGTCCATCAATACTTAACAAATATCAAGATCTAATACAAGACCCAGAACTTTGAATGAAAACCATTTTACGCTCATCAAATCATCATCAGACATAGAAAGACCATAGCAATTTGAATATGAACCTTTTCTTACTTATCAAACTACCATCTGACTTAGAAAAATCATCATCAAACTTATAAGACAACTTCTCCGATGTAAAAAATCTCTACTGTGAGCTTTCACAAGCAATCTTATTATCTCAATAACTTGATCTAGAAATTATGGCAAACTTGAGAACAACACACTGATCACTCTCACACAGCATATACTTTCGGGCGCCACATCAACTCCTTTCAGAAACAAAAGACCACTTTCAAATTGACAAAATGACCACTTTTATACCACACACAAAAGAACTGAACCCTTTCACGTAGTATACTGACTACTTTCATGCAATGTAGTGAGTTCATCAGTCTTTCGCTGTACTGAATAATCGTTGTGTTAATGAGCTTTCTCTTTTTAACCCAGACTGTGCCGATACGCAATACAAAGTAAAATGTTTATTTTCCTAAGATCTAATTAGAGATTAATTTACACATTTAAAAATGTGATTGCTACAAAAAATTTAACTTTTACACTGCAGGTCAAAAGCACCAGTTCACTAAAAACACATACTACTTCCCTGTAAGATGCATGACACAAATGACACAGAGAAACAAACTACCTAGACTCCTTACCTTCCAGCTTCTGAGATAGCTCGTCCACTGTCCTCTGAAGATCTTCTCCATTGCTACCGGCCAAAGCTGAGTCTCGTTGCTGCTGGAGCCGCACCACTTCCTGCCGAAGTTTTGACAGCTCAGACTCCAGCCTGTCACGCTCATGCTGTGCCTAAAGACAACAAATATACACATTAACAGACATTAACACATAAATCAAAAAATAAATACAGCCGAGCACTTACACACTCATGTACAAACACAAGAAAGAACACACATATACATTAGTTAACATTCACAATCACATTTACACAAACAGAGATACTAACACACGTTGGCAAACAAACATACCCATTTACAATGTAACAAACAGTAGCCATAGAAACACTTTGAATTTCCAATAAAATTCTATGAACTTCAGAAGAAGAAGATGGTGTGAGAACAAAGAAAATGTCTGCAGTAATCAAGAATATACTCCATACTAGAGAGACAAAAAAAAGCTCTAAGCTTGAGAAAAAAGCAGATCAACTCAGCTTGTGCTGCCAGATGACTGCAGTCTTGTGGGGAAAATGTTTGTCCAACCAGAGAGAGAGTCCCCACAGAACATAATTAAGGCGTGAGGTATAACAAATGGTCCCAACATTAGCTACCATGAACAAAGACCTGGAAAGAGCTACCCTAGACCTTCAAAAGACATACACATGCTGCTTGATGACAATGAAATATCTCAATCAAGGCAGCACAAAACGCTGGGCAAGTGCCTCAATATTCTGCTTTCTTAACCTAGGCCTCATAGCAATGGAAACGTTGTACCTGCCTGTCATGGAGGAAACATCCCTTGTCAACAATAGTAGTGTGGGACTTTCAAGTCAGTATTTATTTGAGATTACTACACTCTCAACAGCAAGAAATCGAGATCAGCCAGCTACAACTGCTTCAGGCCTACTGACATCCAGGTCAAGAGAAAAAAGGACAGAGAGTGACCTGACCTACATTTTTTAAACAGAACACAGGACTTGGGACAACTTTCTCATGACTTTACTTGCTACCACACCACAAAAGACACTGTATCAGAACACCTCATGTCCTCCACATCTACTATAATCTGTATCTTACATCTGTATACAACATCTGCTGTCAAAAGTTCTGTTTCACAACACAGAAAATGTCTTGTTGCTATTACTGTAAGTGCCTGAAGCAAACCCCCCTACCCCCGACACTTGACTGATGAGATAGCATGGAAACCACAGGCAATCCATATAAATTAACTTCAACATCCACCATACACCCCTTTTCTGCTGACACACTTTTAGAAAAAAGCATGCAGATAAAAGCAGGTTGTAACTTAACCCTGAGCCATCCTAAACAATATAAAAAAACATGGACGGAAAGGAAAATAGTGCATACTGTCACTTCAGACAGGATTGCCCCTAGCAACCACAGATTTACAACATGTCAATTTTGTGCTTGCAGTTCGGTGTTTGCTGTGGAGGAGTGGCTGCGTGACGGGGCTTGAGCCTGTCAGGACGACCCAAATAGATAACAGGACCAGCCGAGAAACTCCTCTCACGTACATGCAACTACCACTATTCAGGAGTACCTGTGCCTGCGCTTGCGTGTCTGAGAGCACGTCTGTGTGTGTGTGTGTGTGTGTGTGTGTGTGTGTGTGTGTGTGTGTGCGCGCGCGCGCATGCGTGTGGTTGAGGGGTGAGGGATGTAAGAGGGGGAGTCAACCTTAAACAAAGCATGCAGTCAGTGACCAGAGATAAGAGCTTGGAGTGGTTCCCAGTCAAGAGTGAAAATACTGGTCCAACTCCGGGACAGAAGCACAGAGATAGGTTTGAGATAATGTCAACTTGAATGTACCAGATAACACACACCACAATAAGGGCTATCTCAAAGCAAAGCTCAACCTCCGCACACCTGTCCTCTCAAAACTGCACATAGTACACAAGAGAACTTGCCCACGCAGAATGAGTTGGCAAGTTGTCAGGGCATAAGTAGCACAGAGTAGGAATGTTGCACTGAGACTGAACACAGCATTAAACAAAAAACGTGCATAATGTATGTTGCACAGAGCAGCAATGTTTTAAAGTTCACATAATGATTACGAAACACAATCTGTAACAATAAATATGAAATCAAGTTTTAAAGATATCACTTTTCAAAGTCCAAAAAAGAATTTCAATTAATCTGAAAATCCACAGAGTTTTGTCTGATCAGAAGGCATGAGCCAGCCTAGTAACTAGTGAACATTTTTATGAGGACATTAATGGCTCTCTTTGGAAATGAGATTCATCGCAGTCAACAATATTACGAGGAGGAAATTACCTGTTCTGTTTGGTGCAAGGCTTGTGTCAGTCTGGCACGCTGCACTTCATCTCTGGCTTCGGTGACTTCTGACCTCTCAGCCTCCGGCAGGGTACCAGAACCACTGTGTTGTGAGCTGCTTCCCACATCTCTCACTGGGGGACCAGAAAAAGAATGCATGACTTATTGAACAAAGAAGGCAGGGGAAACATGTGAGAAATGGGGAAAATAATAGTTAATGTTAGTTAGAGTTTTAGAGAGCTTGCAATACAAAAAGGTAATCCAAGTGCCAAAGATTAGAAATGCTACAAGAGAGTAACAAACACAAAATAGAAGGAGGAGAGATAGGGAAAATAGATGTTTGACAGGTAAGAAGGAGCAAACCACACCATGGCACCTGCCAAACACCCACAGGAAAGAAAATAATGAGAATGTGAAAAACTGATGAGAAAAAGAAGATAACGAACAAAGTCTGTAAAAGAAAGGGAACCGTATGTGAAGAATAAACGAGAGAAGGAAGAACAGTTGAGAAATAGACCAGAGAGGGAAGAACATGCAAGAATGACAATTGGACAGAAGAACATGTGAAAAACAGACAAATGAAGAAAAAGCATGTCAAAAATAGAAAAGAAAAGGAAAAAATACAGCTACCATTTTGATTCAACATCTACCATTAATAACTGAAGGTTATATTTAGAATACGAGTGGCTAGAGTAAGGGTTGATACCTAATAACAGGAAGAGATATTTTGAACAACGGTGGATAAGGTTAAGACTCCACACCTACCATCAGCTAGGTTTTGCTCAAGAGCTGAAACTTGTGAGCACAAAGCCTCCACCTCTGTCTTATGCCGAGATTTGAGTGTTGCCACTTTCTCGCGGTGGTGGTCGTGCAGGGATGTTGCCTGTTGTTGGAGATCTTCCCGAGATCGGGACAATTGACCCTCCAGTTCCTGAAGGAAGAGGACACGGGTGGGGTGGAAGGAGAGGTGTCAACCATAGTAATGATATAATGCTTGAGTTTGAGTAAAGAGAGTACTTAGTCAAGAGATTTTTTAGTACAAGTTGTACAGCACTCGCAACATACACACATAAAGAGAAAGAAGGGGGAGAAATACTGATGAAAGACATTTGATAGAAAAGAAGGAGGAGGAAACCACACAAGAACACCAGCCAACCACCCAAGAGCAAAGAGAAACACACTGACCTAAAAACGGTTATTCAGTACAGGAAAAAAGAAAGATAGAAATACAGACAGGGATAATAGAGAGAACAAAAAGAAACAGGAGCTACCAGTGGTGCCCTCCAACCACCCATAAATCAAGGGAAGAGCATGAGGGAGTGTGTTCTCAACTACAGTAACACAATAAAAGGTCAACAAATATAGAACAATACAGTGAAAGGCAACGCTAAGAAGAACATACACTGATGTCGCTGTAGAAGTGGAGAAAAGAAAGAAGGTAACACTAGTTAAATAATATCAGTTATATTGCAAAAGAAGTCTTTACAAGTTAAAAAGAGGGGAAAGAATAGGACCACAGTGGTGCCCCCAATGGGACGAAAAAGTCAAAAGTACAAGACCAGGAAAAGGAAGCTAGTACATTGCACAGGAACTCTCACCTTGATCTTGTTCTGAAGGTCAAGGACATCAGCACTGGCTGTGACTTCCGCAACTTCATCACCGGCATGGTGACCCTAGAAAAATAAAATAAAACCACATCAATGCAAGGACACACAAAAAATATTTTGGAGTTCCAGAACAAATTAACCCAAAATTTTTTGTAATAGCTTCTTCTATGTATGGAATTTCAAAATCATTCCTGTATGTTGATATTAAGCTGAATTTTTTGTGAGCCTGATTTTTTTAAAAACTAGTAAAGACTTGAACAACTGTAAACAATGCAAAATAAAAATATTCCATCAATTACAAATCCTCAAAAGGTAAAAAGAGAAGTAAAAATGCAAAACTGGCAAACTTATTTTGCCCCGAACAAAAATCTACCCCAGCCAGTGATAGAGACCTTTCCATGTGACAAGAGAGGGCGAGTTGGTAAGAAGCTATATATAGCAGAGAGCTGACAGCCTGATGTGTTTGGCAATACTTTGACCCATTATTGCACAAAGGAACGTTGGCGGACAAAGAATGGATCTCCTGTAAAAACGGCTTCACTTTTCATAAAAATTTCTCATATACACACAAGGCACTCAAACACAACAGCTGATATTTACAACTAAAGACTACTAGTGTATTGCACGGCTCCAGTGAGGTACACACTAGAGTAGAGAGCAAGTCCCATGTACCCACAGCCTGGATCGAATCTACTTCCACAAGGGCTGAGCCTGGGTAAAGTCAACACAAATGTCCTGGTCAAATAATGGAGAGAAGCACGCTCTCATGTTTGCTCAATATCCCTTTGAGTACTCTCTACGCATAGCCACACACACATGGGCACACACACATGGGCACCACACAGGCACACACACGGGCACACACAGACTTGTAGGCCCTGACTGGAGGAACACAGACACACATTGGGGTCACTGAAGAGCCCCTACACACAAGTGCCTTGAGTCAAAGTTTGAAACAGCATCTCTCTGTGGGTAGAGAGACAAGGTGAGGTAGAGGCAGACTTGTGTGTGTAAGAAACCTGAGTTGTCTAAAAGAATGTTGGTCTCATCCCCACTGTACAAGCCAGGAGCCACTCCGATACAGAGGTGGCTTACAGTGGAAAGAGCATCCCTCCTGACTCTCTTCACACTCAACTGTAGCTCTAGAACAAGTGCCCTAGGTACCTTGTGATAGTACTGGGGTCACACCGGGCCCAGCACAGCGCCCCCTGTGAGAGCACTTGGCCCGTATGCAGGCGGGCTGAGGCCCTGGCCTGCAGGATATGATACCTTATCTCCCCACACCTCTTATCTACCTAAGGGTGGGAGGAAGGGGGGAGCTGAGAGCAAACAAAATGGAGACAGGTTGTCGGGGGGGCTTCTCCTATCTCATAACCTGGGGAAAGATTTCAAATTCCATCGTGGACATTTGTCATTGGCTGAAGGCCAACCAGCCCAGGGAATGCGTCATATCATGAATACCCAGAAAAATCTTGTCATTTTAAAACATTTACAAAAGCCCAAACAAATTCATTCTTTATTTTGTAAAGGCACTTCCTCAGCAGTATTTCTCTAGTCAATAAAAAAAACGAGTCAGCAAAAAATGTTAAATTCCAATGTTTGAGGATATGTCAAAAAAGAAAGATAAGATTAACACATTTATGAGGAAAAAAAGCAAAAGTGAGATTACAAGTGAAATGACTGAAGGCTATCTTGTGCCACTGAGATTATTGGGACCCAGAAACTTTGAAGTAACATTTCCCCCCAATACATGGGAACAAATGATAAAACATTGCCTGGTATGGTCAGACCAAAAAGTTCAATATAGATCATTATCAGAATGAAAGCATGGGTTATGAGACCAGCAGAAGCTAGAAAATAAAACCAAAAGTATCCATTGCAGAGACAAGCCCACAACTCGCAGAACATTCAGGTCTGCCCTATTTTGGTAACACCCTCATGTCTCAAGGAGAGTCATTCTGAAGTAAATATTACACTTCTAGTAATGAAACGAGTACATGATGGGAGACCACACATTCTGGAAAAAACTGTTGCTCGTGATAAGAAAGACAATTCTCTGAAAAAATGGCTGATGACAAGTACTCTCAACAGACCCAATCATGTGTAGGTGAAGGTATTTATGATCGACTGAACCATACCCTCAGATGAAAGTTTTTTTTGATCAACTGAGTCGTGTTTTAATAAATGCGTTTCAGTTAAAGTAAATTTCGACACTCCACTCTTAAGATAAGTTAATGGTGTCTTTTGCATGACCTTACTGCCACACATATGTTGCCCCACTGAGAGTGGGGACCCATAAACAGTGTAGCAGGTCAAATAAGTTCCGAATGGAGGGCTCAATGTCACTTTTGCCACTTTTTCTTACCAACTGAGTCGTGCATAAGTAAAAGTTTTCCTTACTGACTGAGTCAAGTGTAAATAAAGGCTTTTCTTATTGAGCGATACATGTGAAAATAAAACTTTTCCAATCAGACAGTTATGGCAAAGTGAGAGGATTCCTAATTGAGCAAATCATGAGTATATGTGAAAGTGTTCCTTTCCGAGCAAGTCATGTGTAAGTAAATGTTTTCATAAACAATAGAGTCATGCATACATGAAGTAATCCTAACTGACCGAGTTGTGAGACGGTGCAAGTTTTCTTAAATATTTGAGCCATGTGTAGATGACAGTTTCCTTTATAGAGCCTGTCACAAGCAGGTGAAAGTTTTCTTAACCGCATGAATCATGGGTGGATGAAAGTTTCCCTAACTGTGCCAGTAATCAAGGAGGAAAGTAGGTGAAAATTTCCCTTACTGAGAAAGTCATGAGTTGACTAAAAATTCTCCTTCAGAACTTCAGTGTACATGAAGTTTTGTCCTAAGAGGATCGAGACTGCAATTGGACAAGAGGGGAGAACACAAGAGCCTGACACTTAGAGGAAATCAAAGGCGACAGGATATGTGCATCAGTACTACTTTCATGTTGAAACTAGGACAGTTTTAATTTTAGTAGAGGTTTTACGGCGCTCGCAACTGCATAAGGTCATATGAGCGCCAGAAGATTAGAGGTGTTGCAAGAGAGTAACAAACATAAAAAAGAAGGGGAGAAAAAGGATGATAGATGTTTGATAGGAAAGAAGAAGCAAACCACACCAGAGCACACGCCAACACCCACAAACTAGGACAGCACATGATTAATAAGCAAAAAACATTAATTACTGATCATTTGAAATGGCTACTCACTGAGAGGAGTCCGAGTGACAAACCAAAATGAGAAGAAGTCACAAATTTCTTTCGAGTCAAAACCCATCCAAAAAAACAAAAAATTCAGAAAATGAATAATGAACGTAGAAATGTGTTTGGTGAGAGACTGGGTATCAGATCACCATGAACACAGCGGTGCTTGAAGTGTGTACTACAGCAGCAGCACCACATCCACAGACACCAAGAGAGACAGAGAGAGTGGTCCCACTTCACCTGCTGCTAGAGGGGCTTACCACATCTTTGTTTGCTCTTACTGACCACAAAGTACACACACATCATGGCACCGAGGACCCCCCTCTCCAATATCTCAATTGACCAACGACAGAAAAGAAAGGTCTGGGGAGAGAGAGAGCCTGTGTACACACTGCTGGCCAGCCCACAGCTCCATTGATTCCTCCGCTGGGACTGACCTACAGCAAAGGTGAGGAGGTGAGGAGTCTGGGCAACGTGCGTACACTCCTAAACCCATTGTTAGCTTGTCTGTGTACTTTGGAGTGACCTTCGGTGACCGACGAATGCCAGTTCATGTCCACTCACAAAGCAAAACTGTAGCCACTCATAGCAAAACTGTAACCACTCACAGAGAGAAAACGGCAGCTATTCACAGAACAAAATTGTAGCCACTCACCTTTGCACGGACGATGGCATCTTGTGAGAAGAAGGGTCTTGAACTTTGCATGGACAACAGACAGTTAGAGTATGGTCAGCTGTCATGGTTGAGGTATCAGTAACAGTGCTCCGTGCAACTGCTGGATGTGAACCTAGCGTGTGGAAGCAAGCCACAGACTGCGGCGCAACAACAGACCAATCCCATAAGCCCTTTGCAATTCAAAATGAGCTAAAAAAGCAGGACCAGGAATTTTGCGCACATCGTCTCTGTGCTCCTCTAGCGTCGATTGCCGCAGCGGCCCATGTACCATGACTCGGCCCCCAAATGTCACGCAAACAAAATCGACTTTAGCCTTGTACCATGTAGAAAACGAGAGAGGGGAAGGAGTGAGGATACGGCACTTGTGGAAAAATTTAGTCTCCACCTGCTTCAGCAACCTGCGAGTCGGGCGTCTAGAAGCGGGAAGTGTGTGTCGCGTCCCCTGCGGCCGCCGGCAAGATTGAGCAACTTGTGGGTTTGCTGAGAAAATTGTCCAACCAGCAAGCTCCTGGCCGCTGCTAGAGATAAGAGACAAGCTAAGCCATCCAGTTTGCTGGAGCAGCCACGCCATTGGCTCTCCCCTTCAACGCTTTATCTCACGTGTCCGGGGCTTATGGTTACAGCACACCACCACGCTTACTCAATAAGAGCCACCCACCACCCACCCCCTCCGGCAGCCAGACCTCTCTGTCTCTCTCTCTCTCTGTGTCTCCGTCTGCACAACCAGAGAACGACACAGAGGTCAAAACTGTGGCATAAGCAAGTCTCAAGAATTCATGAGAGATCACTGTGAAACCCTGCTAGCCTGACAGAGAGAGGACAGAGGGAGGGACATTCTTAGAGCCATCAACAGGTCCGCACGCACACCCACCCACACAAACACACACCAGTTTAAAGAAACCTCTTCACCATACACATGGCCTCCAACCCCTGCTTTCTGACATGTTCTTCCATAACTTTACAAAATGCAACAAATTTGCACAAACAAAACCTTCTGTGGTGGCATTCAAGACAAATCTCAAGACTACAAGTTATTGTACATGAAAGCAATTCTTTTCTGCAAATATTCCTTCTTCTTCTCTGCTCCCTCCCCCATCTCTCTCTCTCACTCTCTTCTCGTTCATTCAGATAAGCCCACAGACAAGGTGTACAAATTTTTCTCCCTAACACCCCTCCCACTCCCCCCTCCCCCACCCCTAATTTTGAAGTTTGAAGAGTGTGTGTGTGTGGGTTTGTGTGTGTGTGTGTGAGTGTGTGTGTGTGTGTGTATGTGTG